AACTGTAGGTGAAATAATGAATCATTTGATGAACAGTAGGTGAAAATAATGAATCATTTGATGAACTGTGGGTGAAAATAATGAATCATTTGATGAACTGTGGGTGAAAATAATGAATCATTTGATGAACAGTAGGTGAAAATAATGAATCATGTGATGAACAGTAGGTAAAAATAATGAATCATTTGATGAACAGTAGGTGAAAATAATGAATCATTTAATGAACAGTAGGTGAAAATAATGAATCATTTGAAAAGTAGGTAAAATAATGAATCATTTGATGAACAGTAGGTGAAAATAATGAATCATTTGATGAACAGTAGGTGAAAATAATGAATCATTTAATGAACTGTGGGTGAAAATAATGAATCATTTGATGAACTGTAGGTGAAAATAATGAATCATTTGATGAACAGTAGGTGAAAATAATGAATCATTTGATGAACTGTGGGTGAAAATAATGAATCATTTGATGAACTGTGGGTGAAAATAATGAATCATTTGATGAACAGTAGGTGAAAATAATGAATCATGTGATGAACAGTAGGTAAAAATAATGAATCATTTGATGAACAGTAGGTGAAAATAATGAATCATTTAATGAACAGTAGGTGAAAATAATGAATCATTTGAAAAGTAGGTAAAATAATGAATCATTTGATGAACAGTAGGTGAAAATAATGAATCATTTGATGATATCATGTGACAGCTTGTGACCTGTTAACAACAATTACACTAACTCATAACTATGCCAACTTTGTCTTTTTAACATGTATCAAAATAAACGTGATAATAAATTATGATTAGACATTGTGTTGAATTAGCATAAATTATGTGCTTCTTAAGAATAGTTCCGAGAATTTTACATTTCCATTTTTGACGATCAAAGTTGGCCATGTGATAAGAAGGATTTCACCACCTGATATATCACTTCTTTAAAGAGCTGGTGAAAACATCATCGACTCACCATTGGTTCATGGATAATAACAGCTCATGATATATCCCATGTCAACCAACTAACATCACCTATACCTATACCACACCTAGATTCTGCATCAGGGGTCACCTATACCTATACCACACCTAGATTCTGCTACTTTCAGAGATTACTTTGCAATGCCAATGTGCAAGTTACATTGAGAAGCCAGGTTTACTTATTCTTGTGATACTGTTTGATAGTGTTTGTTTAAATTAAATTAAAAAGAAATTATCTTTCCTACAGACCTGTATGAAACTGATGCAGGACGATACTGGGATGAATTTTACACACAGCATCAGAACAGATTCTTCAAAGACCGACACTGGTTGTTTACTGAGTTCCCGGAATTAGCACCGAAAGAATCAACCGAAACTGAAAGCATTGTCAAATGTGAAAGCAAAGAAATTGAACACGCTGATAACAATTGTTTTCCTGGAAGTACTTCAAACACGAGAATTTTGGAAGTAGGATGTGGCGTTGGAAACACTGTGTTTCCTGTTCTCCAGACAAATAAGTAAGCTATACGTTAGTATCAATTTATATCGTCTTCAGGTACACTGATAACCATACATACAAGAGCTGCATAATATATACAGTTGATGTTTCCTGTTGGAAGGGTGTCTTTAAACAATTTCAAAAGAGCTTACAGAATGGTTCTCCTGTACACATTATTGCAAGCAATTAGTCAAGCTATGCTATTAAAATCTATTCATTCATCAACGGTATTTTCAATTAAGAAAGCGATAATTATCTCCCATGTCTTGAGTTGTGAGAGTGATAGACAAGTGGAGTGATCATTCTCCTGATTCTGCCCTGATTACCGGTATTACAAGTTTTATCCAACCATTTATATGTCAACATCAAATCTTGTTAGACATCGTCATACTAGTATAGTGTCCTAGACGAACCTTAAAAGATGAATTTCTCATTACTTATCCACAATCACAAAATTTCATGGTATGTAAATTTGATGGCTTATCACAGATCTGCAAATTTAGTATCATTGTCGTTATCCTTGTTCTGATGACATTTGTCAAGCAGATACATTCAAACATTAATATTTATTGTTTTTTTCTTTCTTTCCTTTGTTTTCAGTGATCCAAACTTGTTTGTTTACTGTTGTGACTTTTCAAGTACAGCAATTGAACTGGTTAAAGTGAGTTTTCCTTTCTACAACAAATATACCTGGGTAGCATTTATTCTTTTTCATGGCATTTCACTATTTTTACATACATGTATTCTGTGCTATACCCGTATATTCTATGTATGCTGATGCTTGTTGTGACTGCTCAAAGTTGATTGATGAAAGAATGGGTGGGGTACATTTATAACAAAATCATTATTCATTAATAATTAAGTAAACAATAATTTTATTTTTGAAAATCAATACCTGTTTCACTGCAGGGATTGCGTTAACCCCATATTTTGCTTCCCTGACTCCAATTATTGAAGAGGGACCCAGTTTTACAGGCAAGCTGGGGTCCAATCTCTAATAAGGTTATCCAGGAAAAAAATTCTATTTCTTACAATTTTGTAAGTGGGACTCGTCTTGTCGAGACACTAGTGCAAACCCTGTGTTTGTATTTCATATTTGCTGTGATTTACATTTGCTGTGTTCACTTTGCATTTTTTTTCAGTAAAAAATATAAGTAAAAAATACATGCAATTGAATAATGCTTATGGCCCAAAATTTGAACTTAGAGGAATTAAAAACAAACTCTCCAGTCATTGGCTACTGTACTCAAGAATATCTCCATAATGAAATGTTTACTTGATAGAATAATGATATTCTTTTCCAAGCAAGTTTAAATGTTTGACATTTTTAGGAAATAAAAAGGTATGAGCTTATAGCTCAAGCAATAATTGTTTGAAATTAAAATAAATCTGAATATTTTATAGTATCTGCTATAGTGCACTTTTATTTTTTGTATTTCAGGACACCAATATTTCTATTTCTCCCAACTATAACAAGGCATTATGCACACATTATTTTTGACTCCCATGTGCGAAGCACATAATGGGAGTCTTTGCAGTTAGTGTGTCTGTGTGTGTGTATGTGTGTTCGACTGTTCCACTGCTATCTCAAGAACCAT